TTGCTTGAAAAGGATTTTCATTAATCCCAAAATTTGTACCCCCAGCTGCAGGGTTTTGCAGCTCTTTTTAAACCGGGAAACACAGGCAGGTAAAAAAAATATTTATGTATATTTTGCTTTTAACCCCCTTGCCTCCGGAAGATTTTACCCCCTTTTAGGACCAGAGAAATTTTTTTTTTTTTTTTTACTATTCCCCCACTTGCTATTTTTAAACTGGAACTTCCCTCAGAAAACCTTTTTAAATTTACCCCAATCCCCAAAAATGAAAATTTTTATCTTTTTTTAACACAATAAACTTTTTTGGTTTTGTATTTTTGAAAATGAAAGTACAAACTTTTTTAAAAAAAAAAAAAGTTTTTTTTAGTTTATTTAAAAAATTTAAATAAAAAATCTTTTTTTTTTTAAATTTTAGCCCAAAATGTTTTCATTCACATTTCTTTTAAAAATAACCCAAAATTTTCAGCATAAAATTTTTTTAGTCTGTGTGAAAAGCCCTACAAACTAGGTATATATGGAAATTTATTTATGAAAATTAAACAGTGCTGTTTTACTGACAGCCCCCTCATTTCTTGACCCCCAAAAATGTCAGGACAGTAAAAACTTCCCGCCAAAAAAGGCCTCTTTTGGAAATTTGGTATTTAGTAAGACCCAAGTTTTGTGATTTTTTTTAAAAAATGAAAAAATTAAAATTTTAAAAAAATTTTTTTCACAATTTGTTTTTTTTTATTTACAGAGGGGGGTACAGGCATCATTTGTGCATTTATCAGGGATACTGACTAGGGGACAGTATTTAAACCACCTCCCTTTCTGCCCGTTTTTAAATTTAAAAAAAGGGCCCAAAGGACAGTGGCAGTGCGGGGGTGGGGGGCCTTTTAAAAAACGCTTCCCCGCCCCCTGCTTGTGAGAGCCCCCTTTGGGGCGCCCCGGCCAGACCCCCTTTTCCCGTGCCTGCTTTGCCCTTTCCGGCCAAAATTTTGGAAACACCGATCGTTGTGGGGGCCTCTGTGCGAATTCCTGTTCATGTGATCCGTTTGGCCCAATCAGTAAAAACATGAAAAAGTTTATGCAAAAATGTCATTTCCCGGGAAATCATTGCTTACAAAGTGTTAAATCTGTAAAATAAATTACAGGGTAACAGGGGTTAAAGGCTTTTTCACAACAGCCTTGGTCCCATGTGAAAAAGCTGTGCCCAAAACACAGCTCACACGGGAAATTTCCCAAAAGGGCTGCAAAAAAGCACCCCAGGAAAAAGGGGAAAAATTTGCTTTTTTTTCGTTTTTTTGGGTTTGAAAAATTGGCCTCAATTTTAAAAAAAAACAAATCTTCATCCCCCCCCAAAAGTAGTACAGGGGCACCGGGTGACCGGGTACTGCTAGGGTGACGTATGTAAAAAAAAACAAAAAAATCCCCAAAAAATTAAAATATAAAAAAAAAAATTAAAAAAAAAATTGTAATTTTAATTTTTGGTTTTAAACTATTTTGGGGTTATTTTTGAAATATGAAATTTTTGGCAAAAATTTTATAAGAAAAAACCCTTTTTTCAAAAGTTTGGACTTTTTCATTTTTTTAAAAGCAAAAAAAAATAAAAATCCCGGGTTGTAAATTTAAATTTCCCCCAAAAAATTTTTAAAGCTTTATCTTTAAAAAAAAAATTTCCTTAAAAATTTTTTTTTTTGGGGGTTACGTGTTGCATGACTGAGCAATTGTCATTAAAAAGCGTGAAAGCGCTAAAAGGTGCGGGAAAAAATTGGGCCTGGGCGGGAAGGGGTTGAAAGTGTCCAGACTTGAGGGTTTTAAAAAAAACAAAACAAAATAAAAAATTTTAACCCCCTCCCGCCCCCAATATAGCCCAATAAAGGGGAAAGGGGGTTTCTTTCGTTCTGGGAGGATGTCATTTGATTCCTCCCTTTCTCCCGCACTGCCCCCCAGCCCAAAAGGGGGGACCCACAGCGGCCAAAGGGATGTCGACTCAGTCATGTGATCAGCTGAGTGTCCAATCACAGCTGACCACATGTAAACAGGGTAATTCCAGTTATTAGCAAATTTCTCTCCATCTCGACCTGATCACGCTGAACAGCTCGTTGAGGAGTAGGAGAGCCAGTAATCGGCTTTCCGCGGAGGGGACATGTACACTAGATCCATCCATGGCACTGATGATCAGATGTGCACTGATGATCAGTGAAGCCTCCAGCAGTGGCCACCCTGTCAGTGTCCATCAAGTGCCGTGTGTCCAGTGCTCATCATCATGCCCTCGGTGCCCCCAGTGCTTCAGCATTGCCACATCAATGCCACATATCAGTGCCTACCAGTGCACATCAATGCCACATATCATGTGCCCATCTGAGCTGCCTTTCAGTGTCACTCCATCAGTGCCAGTCCAGTGCCACCTATCAAATGCAATCCAGTGCCACCTATCAGTGCGGCCAATCAGCGCCACCTATCAAGTGGCCAGTCCAGTGCCGCCATATCAGTGCGCATCAGTGCCTGCACCTATCAGTGCCTGTCAGTGCCGCCTATCAGTGCCAGTCAGTGCCCGCCTAACAGTGCCAGTCAGGTTGCTGCCTATCAGTGGCCGCCTGTCCAGTGGCCAGTCAGATGCCAGTCAGTTTGCCACCTATCAGTGCTGCCTATCAGCGCCATATATCAGTGCCATGTATCAAGTGCTGCCGTTTCAGTCCACCATCATGTGATGGCTGTCAATGCCCATCAGTGCGCACATACTAGTGCCTTCTCATTCATGTTGCCCATCAGTGCCAACCTATCAGTTGTCCATCAGTGCAGCCTATCAGTGCCCCACCCTACCGCAGCCTCATTAGCGCATATCAGTGAAGGAGAAAAATCAATAATTTTACAAAATATTATATAACAAAAACTAAGAAAAAAACTTTTTTTTTCAAAATTTTCAGTGGTTTTTGGTTTGTTTAATAAAAAAATAAAAATCCCAGAGGTGAATTAAATACTCACCAAATAAAGCTCATATCTGTTCTACCAAAAAAAGGGGGGGGGGGGGGGGGGGGGGGCAAAAAAATGATAAAATGTCATATGGGTAAAGTGGTTGGCATGACCGTCGCCAATTGTCATTCAAAGTGCGACAGCACTAAAAGCTGGAAATTGACCTGGGCAGAAGGGGGTGTAAGTGCCCTGTAGGCTAGCGGTTAATATAACTTTATTTCATTTTTAAATTTTCTTCTTTTCTTTAACATTTTTTTGTTTTTTTTACTATACGTACTATCACCGTGACACTGTACTGCTCTGGGGGCTTGGGGGGTAATAAGTGTAATCACTGTTATAGGCATAGTCGTAACTCTCATTACACCGTTAAAACACAGTGGTCATAGAATCACACTCTCACTGCCAGTGTGCATGTGTTTTAAGCAACGTATTAAGTACTTGCTTAGCCTGTAACTTCCATCCGCCCACAGCAAATGTTAACTGTGCGCGGGCAGCAAGTGGTTAAAATCCTGCCTTTTTTTTTATTTCCAGCTCAGCTTCAATTTGTTAATTGCTTATGTAAAGTCCATGTAAATCTACTAGTCCATCTAACGCTACCCTTTCCACAGACTGACAATGCTGCTGTCTGAGGATAGATACTGTAGATTGCTTCACCATAGATATAGTGGAGGAGTGAGTGTAGCCACCACAACACAGGAAATATATTACTGGCCAGATCACCAGATAAAAATAAAGGGGAAAAAAAGCATAAAGCTGTGCTTGCAATGTAAACATTCATATAAAAATTCCCAGTACATTTGATGTACAAAGATTGTATGGTGAGACTGTAATTTGTATGGTAAGCTTAAATCACATATGTCAAATTTGTGGTGAAAGACCAAGACCCAAGCATAGACACACATACTGAATTGGTCAATACAGCAGTTTACGAGCTGATAGACATAAAAAAAAGCACCTGAAATAAAACCGACCATAGGCATTATAGTTTCCCTTGAAATTCTAATTATATAACTAACCTAAGTCTAACAGCTGCCCTCATCCCCATGCAAGTTCAGTGGGCCACCCCCTCCAAGAGCTTCCTCGAACATCAGGCTGGCTGTAGGGTGGGCCCACCCCCTCCAAGAGCTGCCTCGAACATTGGTGTAGGGTTTAAGGAGGGAAGCCTCGCATGTGCATTTCCATTGACTTAGAGGAGGAACTGAGCACCGCCCGGCTCTACGTAGGCTCCTAAAATAGGTTACTCATGAACCTGGGTGTATGGATAGCATGGAGGAGGTAAGGGGGGCTGTCAGGCTTATGGTGGCCATACACACATCTGTGTTTTGATCAACTTCCCTTCCTATTGATTTAGACTCAATTTCGATCAGATTTGATCAAACTAAGTTGATTGGCCAGCGCAGAAAATTAATTATCGTTTTGCATCAATCAGCAGCATTGAGATACTTTGTGCAAGAACACAATCATATTTTGATGATCGATCAGATTATGAAATGACATGGTGGAAACAGATATGCGATGATGACTTCTGATCATAAGCTTTGATCACTGTTTGTCACGTACCTGGTTGGGGAGCCTGACGTGGAGAGGAAGCGTCCTCTCTGATAGTGCGGCCCGAGCAAGGAGTGCTTTATGCTGATCATAAAGCTTTGATCACTGTTTGTCGACACGTACCTGGTTAGGGTAGCCTGACGTGGAGAGGAAGCGTCCTCTTACTGCTCCCAGCTCGGAGCCCCTGATAGTGCGGGCACCGAGCAAGGAGTGGCAAGAGTGCCGAGTGGGTCTTGAGATGACTGTAGGCAGCTGATGACCCAGAAGATCCGGATGCAGGCCAGGTGCGGATGCAGGAACGTGGGTACAGCAGCAGCAGGTAGGTATGGTGGCAACCAGGATACAGGCCAGGTGCAGATGCAGGAACATGGGTGCAGCAGCAGGTAGGTATGGCGGCAACTAGGATGCAGACCAGGTGTGGATGCAGGAGCGTAGGTGCGGCAGCAGGTAGGTATGGCGGTAACCAGGGTGCAGGCCAGGTGCGGGTGCAGGAACGTAGGTGCACCAGCACATAGGTTATGCGGCAACCAGATACAAGCCAGGTGCAGATGCAGGAACGTAGGTACAGCAGTGTCAGACAAGCCGGGTGTGGATCAACCAGGCAGATTAGGTACAAGGGAGCAGGCAAGTGGATAGTCAGGGATAAATTGCTGCCGGCAGATTAGGTACAAGGGAGCAGGCAAGTGGATAGTCAGGGATAAGCCGGGTTGGTGCAGGCGGAGTTCTTTATTAGTCAGGGTCAGATCAGATACAGGCAACAGAATCAGGTTATCAAGTACAGGACGTTGTAGACCAGAAGGCATAGGCTAAACCGTGTTGGTGATTTAAATAGCCTGCCTTGCGGTGACATGTACACTAGTGCGCATGTGCGTAACTGCACGCTCCCGCGCGCCATGCGCACTCGCTCCGCCGTGTCTGACAGGCATTCGGGCGCATAGATGCGCGTCGGTGAGGAAGTGATCCCTGATAGTGCCCCCTCTCTAAGGGGAGCCTCGGATGCCCAACCGGACCATCTTCTCTGGATACCTGTATCTGAATGCGAAGATTAAGTCTTTAGCGTGGATGGTGGATTCCGGTTCCCATGAATTGTCTTCAGGTCCATATCCTTTCCATTTAATTAAATAATGGAGCTGGTTCCTTCTCTTCCTACAGTCATGTTGACAACCATATTTCCTCGCCAGGTTCCAGGTCCCCCTTCCTTTTCCTGTGAAATAATTTCTTGTTGGCTAGTTGAGCCTTTGTGATTGTCTCCTGTAGCACCTTGTTGTTTTGGTGAATGAATTCAAAAGTGTCTTGGACCGCTGAAATTGATAATTCAGGCACTAAATTGGATAGGAATGCAGGATGAAATCCATAGTTAGAGAAAAAGGGGGACTGTTTTGTGGCCGAGTGTTTTGAATTATTATATGCAAACTCGGCCAAGGGTAAAAGTGATACCCAGTCATCTTGGGAGAATGACGTAAAACAGTTAATGTATTGTTCTAAGGTTTGGTTGGTTATTTCCGTTTGGCCGTTGGTCTGAGGGTGATAAGCGAAAGAGAATGAGAGTCCCACTTTCAACTTCTCGCAGAGTGCTTTCCAGAATTTCGAAGTGAATTGTACCCCTCAATCCGAGACAATGTTCCCTGGAACACCATGGAGCCTCACCACCTCTCTTATGAAGATTTGGGCCGTATCTGCTGCAGACGGAACTCCCTTCATGGCAATAAAATGGGCCATTTTAGAAAAACAATCCACTAAGAAAAAAAGGGCCGAACATCCCTCTGATGGTGGCAGTTCTACAATGAAGTCCATTGAGATCATTTTTCATGGTCGATCAGGGAACGGTAGGGGCCTCAATAGTCCCCAGGTCTTGCTTCTGTTGCCCTTGTTCGTTATACATGTGGGGCAGGAATTTACATAAGCCTTGCAGTCCTTCTCCCACTCAGGCCACCAGAACAGGCGCTGCACTAGGTCTAAAGTCTTGTGGACCCCGAAATGTCTTGCCAGCGGATGGTCATGACATAACCCTAAAATTACCAATCGGATAGTCTCTGGTGATCTTGTCTCTTGACCATAGTAAAACTTCTCTAGTGGATAGAGTTGCTCCTGGTGGAGAAGGAGCCCCTAAAGATGCCTGCTGGATCTGTGAAAAAAGGTCTGTTTGTAAAAGACAGAAGTTGCCTGCTGAGAGCACTGTATCAAGGGTAGGAGGATCCTTAGGATCACCGAACATCCTAGACAGGGCATCAGGTTTGATATTCTTAGAGCCTGGTCTGTAGGTAATGTGAACTATGAACCTTGAGAAAAAAAGTGCCCACCTGGCTTGTCAGGGTTTTAGACGTCTCGCAGTCTTCAGGTACTCCAGATTCTTGTGATTGGTATAGATCAAAATGGGGTATGCTGCTCCCTCTAAAAGGTACCTCCATTCCCCTAAGTCTGACTTGATGGCAAGTAATTCCCGATCTCCCACATCGTAGTTTCTCTCCGCAGGGGATAGCTTATGGGAAAAAAATAGCGACTGGATAGGACGGCCCCAACAGCATTTTCCGAGGCATCTACCTCTACCACAAAGGGTAATGCTGGATCTGGATGGCTTAATATGGGTGCTGAAGTAAAAAATCCCTTTAATGAGTCAAAAGCGTTTTGGGCTTCTGGTGTCCAATAGAATCGGACCCCTTGTTTGGTCAGTTGGTTGATAGGAGCGATGATAGCTGAGAATCCTTTGATGAATCTCCTATAAAAGTTTGCAAATCCTATGAAGCGTTGTATTCCTTTTTTATCAGATGTGCAGGCCATTCCAGAATGGCAGAGACTTTCTGGGGATCCATTTTGAAGCCTTCAGTGGATATAATCAATCCTAAGAATTGAATGCTCTGGTGTTCAAACTCGCATTTTTCTGGCTTTGCTTATAGTCCGTGTAGTCTGAGGCAACTGAGGACCTTCTGCACATGTCCTCGGTGAAGTTCAATAAATGTGGAAAAAATCAGAATGTCATCAAGGTAAACTATCACAAAAATATCTAAAA